TACTTTGCTGTAATTAGTATGCAACGCTTATTTACAGTTAAATTACTGTAGCTGGGTTAGGTTTTATTGTGAATTTTTTTTTTTCAATAAAAAAGCCATTCTTTAAATGTCGTAGTTTTGTGGCTTTTTTTTTTTTTTTTTAAGTATCGTTTCAGGCACCGGTACTGTTTTAGAAGTATCGATTTGTCAGCGGATATCGTAATAAACCCAAACGATACCCAACCCTACCCAGAAACACAGACAGGAAGTCTACATCAGAGAGCCGCTCGCCTCTGCTCGACCTTTGATCCCGGCTGACCCACTGCGGCGGAGGTCAGGAGGTCAGCTGAGAGCGGGAATAACACACTGTGCTTCTGGATAATCGTGAGGATTCGCTTACAGAAGCTAATAATGCATCAGGAGAGGACGAGTGGACAGGAACTCACGCTGCTCCTCCGGATGTAATCGATGGCTCTCTGGCAGTCCATTCCTGACCAGTCGTCCAGCATGAAGCAGATGCAGGTGGCGCAGTACACAAACCTCATGTCGTTCTCGCTTCCCTCAGGAACAGCATAAAAACTGCAGGGAGAGAGACAGCGGCACGTTTAGAGACTGAAACATGCTTTTCTAACGACACGCGACTCCAGCGAGAGCGAACCTGCCGTCCTCCAGCTGCAGCGCTCTCAGTCCCGCCAGACAAGCCTCTTTATCCACACGACTCAGATCGTCTCCCAGAATAACCAGACATGCCAGGCCCGTGTAGGTCATGGCCACGTGACCGCTGTCATACGTGTGAGGAGCCCCGGGGCCCTGCGGAGAGACAGGCACACGCTCATACACATCAACACATCGTCCAACAGATCTCTTACAAACACACTTAATGTCTGAACATCTCTGCTAGCAAACACTAGAATACGGGAATAACTTCTTGTACCTTCTGATCACACTTTAAAGATTCATAAAACAAGATACATTTACTGGAGAAGCAAAAATGACAAGAGATATGTAGTCTTGTTTGAAGAAACTGATCAAACAAAACAAAAACAAATATCTGTCCGTGGCCTCACAAAAATCAACTTCATTCAAAGTGAAGCAGGTTTTCATTCCCCACTGACAGATATTTGTTAATGTTTTAATCATAAACTCACTTCGTTTGATCAGTTTCTCAGAAAACTTCATATCTTCTTGATTAAAGGATGTTTAGATAAGACGGAGATACTGAGGAAGAGATTTGTTTTTTGGATTTTTTGCAGTGCATGTGACATTTAATGCCCCAACTTCAAGATTTTAAGAGTTTCTGCTCTGATTAAGATGTTTGTAATGCTTTATCTTGTGGCCGGGTGTGAAAGGCTGCTGTATGATCGAAGTGACAGATTCAGTCTCAGTACTGGACCCAGATTTGGTTCTTCAGCAGTCAGCGCTGCCCTCTGCTGTGTGTCAAGCGTCCTACAACATGCGTGTCCAGCTCCGACCCCTACTAACCACACCTGAAGCAGCTAGTCAAGCTCTAACTAGCACACTAGACACTTCCAGGCGTGTGGAGGCAAGTCAGAGTTTGGAGACGCTCATCCTGAAACAAGCAGCATCCCGTTACCTTCGAGCTGCTGTAGGGAACGCCGATGTGTGAGGATCCGCGGAAGCCACAGCGACTGAGATTAGACTCTGTTCATCAAGAGAAGAGAGAACATGCGTGACACGGGAAGAAGCGCTTCACAAACAGCTTACAGACTCAGAGCTTCTGCACTGAAGAGCCCAATGAGACGAGCCTGTGAAGCACATAAAGAGAGACTCACTGTCGTCGGTGGGAAGAACCTGCAGGGAATAAATCCACTCAATTAAACCCGGCTTGTCCACGACATCCAGAGCATCAAGAACATCGAGACCCGACAGAGCGAAGAACACGATCGTCAACCTGCGGAGGAAAACACACACAGCTGAGTTTGGTCCTTTTGTCAAACAACGACTAAACTCATTAGACGAGTCTGTTCATGTGTAAATCCAGACTCATGAAGAGTAAATGTACAGACAGACGACTGACGTCTACACTGATCAAAACCACCAAATAACGTTTAACAGCCAGCTGCGTGTTTTTCACAATACACACGGTTTAAAGCAGCCTTCATTTTCAAGGACTTCAAGGACTTTTCCAGGACGTATTTAATTTAATTACAGCGGGAATAAAAGACCAGGAACATGCCCTAAAGTCTTATATTCCTCTCTCTAGAAGTATAGTTTATGGCCACGATGTAACTACAAAATCAGCTCTTTAATAGGAGCTCTTAATTATACAATACGGCAAATGATTTTAAAGGGGTCCTATTATGCTTTTTCACTTTTTGAATTACAGTCAGTGTGTAGTGTGTATGTTTGGGCATTAAAAAGATCTTCAAACTTGGTTGAAGAAGTTTTCACAAGTTATTACACATGCACCTGAATAATTATGTAAATATGTTACAATTATGAAAACGTTTTTGATAATAAATCGCTTACCTGAATAATTATGTATGTAAATATGTATGTTACAATTATGAAAACGTTTTTTATAATAAACTGCTGACAGTACAATACTGCACAATGATGTAATCTGCAGAATTTACGCTTCAGTTATGAGACTACAGTGTGTCCCATACACTGAGTGCGGGTGTTTATATATCACTGTATCTGAAGGAAACCGACTGTCTTCAGAGAATTGGATGTCATTTTCATGTAATCTTGCATGTGATGTCTGATAAAGCAGTGTTTGTTTGAGCGATCTCTACCACTCCAACAGCGCCTCCTGCTGGCAGAGAATGAGTTTGCAGATACAGTGGTGTGAAGAAGTGTTGGCCCCCCTCCTGATTTCTTTTTTGCATGTTTGTCACACTTTAATGTTTCAGATCATCAAACTAATTTAAATATTAGTCAAAGATAACAAGTAAACAACACGCAGTTTTTAAAGGAAGGTTTTTATTATTAAGGGAAAACAAAAGTAATTCATACTCTCTCTCTCTGTGTGTGTCGTAAATAAACACTTGATGAATTACACTTTTCTGAGAATAGATTATTGAAGTGGAGATCGCTAAACTGCAAGCTAACCGGTGTTTTCAGAAAGCAAGCGTGATTATCCACAGTGGAGAGAGTGTGAGCACAGGGTTGCCAGGTTGATAAAGATAAGTAACACACTTAGCAGATATTTCAGTATTGCGCAAGTGTGAAGCTCTGTTTCGGGGATTACGTCTCTTTATATCAGGCAACCCAGCTGTGTTCCTCTGCGGCCAGATTAAACCTCGTTGTAGCCTATATATGCTCTATTCATTCTTTTTTAGAAACCTCGCAACCTTCTACTCAATTTTAAATGTTGTAAAGTTTTAAACAAATTAAGCGCGGTCCACTGCTGCACACGTGCCACAGTATCAATACAGGGCCAGCTGTACTCGTATCGTCAAATCTCTGTGACCATACATCGTCGTATCGATATTTTGAACACAGCACTAATGAACACTACTGTAATATGCATCGTTCAGAGGCAAGATGAAAAGAAAATACCACGTAAACTTTTCTAAAGACAGTCAGTTCCCTTCAGACATACATTCATATAAACTTCTGCTGTAATTGTATCGCGATTTGTTTAGCATCTCAACCGATTTGAATCGTCACATATTTCAACCGGCTCACGGTTAACCGTCACATCCCTAACTACTTTATTTAACTATTTGAAAATAAAAATAATTTAAATGAGTTAATTATTACAGCTAATTACTAGGGATGGGCGATATCTTATCGTTTGCGATATACCGGTAAAAATTCTCCACACGATAAGAATTCGTCTTCTCGCGATAATAACGATAAAGTCTAGTTGTTAACATATTTCTGTGTGCGACTGTGCGGAGTGACTGAAGGAAGGCGGACGTGAAATTGAGCAGCTCCTACAATCTGGAGCAGGTTTGGACAGGGCTGTACAGTGCGACAGAATCCGGTCTGAGCCTTGAGGAAATGTACTTCAGCAGCACGTGTGCGACACAGGTTTACATGTGTACGAGTCGCTTACAAACCTGTCGTCCAACAAAGATATTTTAATTTATTGACATGCTTTTTCTCCATATTAACTTCATAACAGTCGAGTGTTTGAAATAACTTATCTTTGTGGTTTCATATCACAGAATAAGGCAGAAATCATACTATTTTATAGCATTATATACAGTGATAAAGGCTATGTCGATTAGCATTGCATTATAAATATACTTTATCCTTATAAAAAATACCCAAGATTGCTTGAAGAACACAGATACCATATATTTTGTGCAATCGCATGTTTATTGTCTTCAGGTTTCCTCAGTTAAAATGTCTTTATCTGCGTTATATTCAGCTACAGCGATCCCTGGATACTTCTTCTTGGAGCATTACTTCTGCGATGCATATGTGGAGTTTCTGCGCAAGGGCGAAAATGTGAATTTTACTTGAAGATCCCCATCGAAAAACGTGTATTTTACCCCGGAATGCGATTTTTACAGGGAACCCCCTCGAAACACGATTAAACTAGTTTTATTGCGAAAACCTGGCAACCCTGCTCATCAGCGCCACCTGCTGTCAGAGAGAGCGTCTCATTCAGACCCGCTGTTTTAGTTTCGTGCAGATGTTTTATGTGGCAAATAAATAAATAACACCTAAAGTCAGACCATTCTGTTTTTGTTTTAAATCCTGAAATGAATCTAAATCAAATCAAAAACAACTGTCTGTGCAGATCGTGATTAAAATGCAGCGGTTGCCTCTAATTTCAAATGGCTAGATATTTTTGTTTAAAGCCAGTTTGTTTGTTATAAAGCAAATAGCCAATAAATACATTTACTTAAATATCAGTATCAGAATCCAATTTACTAGTTAAAAAAAAAAAATAAGAAAAGAAAATCTGAATCCGCTATGATCGGCGCATCACTAATTAAAATACAAAGTAAAAGGCCTCAAATTTTAAGTACAATCTGGGATGTCTTTTTCTATCAATAGGTAGATCTTGTCTTTCATAAAGGCCGAGGTCAGGGATCTTG